ACTTGCTTGTTGCAGCAACATAAAGACTGTCCAGATGAGATTAAAAAATTAACTAGTGTAAAAAATACAATGAAAAAAATTTATAATGATTCCTTGGAACAAAGTACTCTAGATTGTTTTTTTGAAAATAAAATAAAAATTAATTTACAAGTAACACATGTCAATCTATGCATATATACGTTTGTGGGATATAGTAGAATCAGAACTGTTTTTGATGCATATGCATGTTCACGTTATGCAAACAGCTCATAGGTCCTAATATGGGACCAGGCTATCTTATGCAAATAGACAAATTATGCAAATATACGTTATGCAAATAGACAGGTACAACTGTATAATAATATCAATCCAAACCAATTTGCACGGCTAATTTATTAAAAAATTCTTTGATTCATTACATTCTCATTTGTATATGCTCATTCAATATCTTGTCTGGTAAAACAAAAATGTGATTTTCAAAAACTCTTTTAGCAAAAAAAAAAATTCCAATTATTATTATTTTTTATAAATCATATTTTTCATCATATCAAAACTATTTCCATCAGGTTGTAATGTAATAATATTGCTAGTACTGCTACTAGTACTGCTGGTACTACTACTACTAATACTGCTTCTATTGTTCATACTAATATTATTATTATCATCATCATCACTATTACCATCTAATAAAATTGCCTTTAAAAATCCAAAATCTTCAGTTATACCAATTATTTTTGCTCTTTGGTTATTATAAGTTTCTAATGTTACAATTTGATTCCTACCAGAAATAATAAAATTTAATTATAATAATAGTAATATTTTTTACAAAAGTAATAAAATTATTATTAATATCAGTAACTTACTCATGTAACCATCTTTTATAATAAATATCAATGAAAGGTCGAAATCCTCTGCCATAGTTACAAAAGTCTTTATAAAAATATTCAAATTTTACAATTATCATAGCTAAAAGTTCTTCTTGTGAAAATAATTTCAAATCTTCAGCATTTTTGTTTTTTTTATTGTAAATCTCAATCAATTGGTTAATTGAAATTGTTGGATATTGATTATTTACATTAAGCCCACATCCTAAAACGAAAAAATTATATTAAATATTAAAAGGACTTGGGGTAAGTTATTAATGTGAATATATTATAATATAATACATAACCTATTTATTAATTTAACAGTGACTTACCAATAACCAGCTTATATTCTTTATTAATATAATTTGAATTTACCAGTACACCACCTATTTTAACAAATTCATTGTCATCAATAAATGCATAAATGTCATTTGGCCATTTAAGTCTTAACGGAATCTCCTGTATCATTCATTCATTTCATTTCATAAAAAAAAAAAATTTGAAAACCTTTTAATTGTCATTAAATTCTTTATGATAATTAACTAATTACCTCATAACCATCTTTGGTTCTAATAGATTCCACTATAGCTAATGATAATAAATATTGTATGAACACTACGGATGCAGAAGTTGTAGGATTGTCGTAATGATTCAAGGTGAAAGAGAATTGTAAACAACCAAGTGGTGAAATCCATGTATTTTTACCACGTCCACGACCTTGAATTTGCCGATTAGTTAAAAAAATAAATCCATTTGGTAATTCCTTTTTCAATTTGAGATTGCTATATACAAGGGGGGAGAATAGTTATTAATTGGATTTAATCATTTTTGGCAATTTTTAGGAAGATAAAATACCTTTCAAGTATTGTTTGAGTACTTGTTACTACTTCACCATATAATAAAATAGATCCAAATTCTAAATTGTTGTCACCTTTACTTAATAAACTTCTTTCATTACAAAGAATATTAAAATATTTTTTAAAATTGAAAAATTCATCATTGTCATCTTTAAATTTTACTTCTTTGTCATCATTATCACCATCATTATATAAAATAATGATTTTTTTGTCATTTTCACTCTTCTCATTAATATTTCTAATTAATTGAAATTTTTCATTATTAATTAATTCTAAATTCCCAGAAGAATCCAATAAAGGTTTAATATTGTATAACAATAAATCAATCAATGAAGGTCTTAAAGATGCCAAATATAATGTAGTACTCAATTCAATCGAATCATTTTGTTGCTGTTGTTGTTGTTGCTTGTTATTATTATTAGAAGTTTTTAGACCAAGTTCTGAAAATATTAAATTTAATAATAATAATCTATCATCAAATGAATATAAATCATTATTAAATAAATCTATTCCACTCAATATAACTTTGCATTTTCCAATATTATTGCATTTAATAATCACAGGTTCCTTTTTGCCATCATCATCATTTTCTTTGATGTATGCAATAGTTGAAATATTTGAATACTTTAAAGTATTTTCAAAACATCCAATTGAATTTAAAATTTTAGTTTTTTTGATTTTGATTTTTTTATTATTTTCAGTATTTAAAATTAATGATAAATCTTCATTAACAGATGATGATAAATTTTTTTTCCAATAATTACCAAGAAAAAATTTAAGGTCACTATTATTGTTATTATGTGTTTGTGGTGATGATAATCCACAAAAAATTTCCGCACCGAATCCAATTCCTAAATACTTACCATCTTCATTATAAACATAATTTTTAATTTTTCTATGATAATCATTTATTTGAAGATCAGATGATGATGATGATGAATTATTATTGTTGTTATTATTATTATTTGGTATAATTAATAAATCAGTTGTATTATACCAAGGTTCGTTGATTAGAATTTTTGAATTAACATCTTTAATATCATAGTTATTCAAGTATGATTTTAATAATAATTTTATTCTCTCGATATCTTTATAATCATCATCAATATAATCATTGCTATTATTTCTCTTACTAATAGCACTTGTGTCATTATCAGTGTTTTTGTTGAATAATAAAATATTTGTTTTCATGATTTTTTTATTTTTTGAAAATGAATATTTTTTTAACATATTTCGAGTCGACTGTGACACAAAAATGATTTGTAATTAAAAAAATAAACTTAAATAATTATTAAAATTAGAATTTAATTAATGTATTATATTTTAAATAAAGATTCGTCCAAAGGAGTCAAATTTAGATCCTCTCCGGTCCCCAATTTTGATAAATTCCAATTATTTTGTATTGTTGGTAATATATTATAATGATTATATTTATGATCATCTTTATGTTTATAAGGGTTTAATACATTAGGACCAATAAGTACGGTGTAAATGTGATTGTAATTGACAAGGTTAAGATCAAAATAATTTTTGGATTCTGAGTAAGTTATTAGTAAGAGTGTCTTGGTTGTTAATAGGACAGGTTTAATCAAGTTCATTAAATGATTCTCCAAATAATCACTAGAAAAACTCATGTTTGTATTCAGTCCACTATTATTAATATTAGGACTTTTTTTGTTGTGAAGGAATAAAATTATAATTAATAACATTCTTAATATAAAAACAAATTTCCCACCAATAAACAAATGAAAAATAAGGTAAATATATACTAAATACATACATATAAAATATATATTGAGGAATCATTATTGAATTGTTTGATGACGATAAATCATTTATTAATTGATCAGCATTCACAATTTTGCTAATTAGTGATGGGTTAGTTCTAATATTGGTCATTGAAATGAAAGGATTATGTTTACGATAATATAATTTATCATCTGACACTTCTCCTACAAATCCACCACCTATAAATATGATGTAATTGCTATATTGTTAATATTATCATTACTGTCATTATTATAATAATGATTATTAATTAATTACCAGGATAATTTTCAATATATGCTTTCCATGAGATTCCTCCTGCCTCCAATAGTTCCGGAAGTGAAGGGCCGTTAACATCTTGCAAAAAATTTGTAACCTATTAAATATATTAATCATTTAATTAATTGCGTAAATATTAAAACAACACATATAAAATTATTACTCTACTTACGACACCACCTTTTGAACCACGGATCATTGCAATATAATTTGGTTGTGAAGGATGCCAAACTCCATGAAAATTTGATAATAAAATTCCCTGATTTGCCTTTCATAATATGAATGAATGAGTTTCTAGTATATTAATAAATCTCTCTCATACAATACATACATACATACGTACATATATATAATATTTAAATTTCCCAAAAAATTATTATTATTACCAAGTATGATAAATATTTATCTTCAATTGCTTCAGTATAATCAGTATTTTCTAAAACAATTGTAATAACTCTATGATAACAAGAAGAGGAATATTATTTCAATAATAATTAATCATAAATGACATTAATGAATTCTTTACCTATCGAAATATTTTCCACTAGCTAAATCAGGAGAACATAATATTGCATTAAAAGTACAAGAACTTATTATCATGAAACAAATTAATATTATTAAATGATTCTTCATTTTTTTATATTTTATTATTTTCCCCTGACCAAATATTATTATTATTATTATGTATCAAAAAAATTCTTTGTCATCCAGAAATTTTACTATTAATATGTAGATCCTTTCCTTCACGAATTAATTAAATTCCCCTAGACACTGTACCACAGAAAATTTATAAAATTTCGAGAAAATGGATAACAACGTAATACGCGTTGAATTAATTATATTTACAAGTGTTCCAACACTAATTTACGCAAAACAAAATGTCTGAAAACATACATCGTCGTAAAAGACAATCATATAAAAATGCTGCTGAAGCCAATAATAATAGTATTCTTTCTTACTTAACACCACGAACTCCATTAACAGATATATTATCTCGGGCTGACAACAGCAGCAAAAATAACCTTTATAACAAAGAAACTGTTCCTGACATTAATGAAATACCACCAATGAAAAGAATAAGACACGATTTATTTATTCCTCAAATACAAACTTCCTTTCCAACATTACACGAAAGAAATTCATTTACCAACAATAGTGATAATAATAAAGATGCGAATAAAATATCTTTTTTTACTAAGAAGACTGTTAAACCTTATATGGGATTGAACACAATAATAGCTCTATATAATAGAGAGCTTTATGGAAACCCAAGAGGTTATAGTGTTCAAGCATCAAAAAGATGGAATTGTATGTTATTTATTTATTTATAATAAATAATATTAATATTATTAATAATATTAATAATATTTGATTATTCAATTATTTTTAATATTAAGCATCAACACGTTATTTAATGAAAGATTTTATAAATAATCAAAGAGATGCATTTAGATTCACAGGTGAACGAGGATTAATTGCACCATTTGCTTGTTCATTTACTAATGGTATATATACTTAATAATATTGTCATTTTGATAAATTATTTAATTATAATACTAAATATTTATTATTAAAAAGTTGCACATGAAAAAAAATATCTGGCAGTAGCTGATGAAGAAGGAACGGTAGGATTAATTGATACAAGATATGATAATACAGTTGAAACTGGTAATTAATAAAAAATATATATAATAGCAGTGGTATTAGTAGTATTAGCAATAATAACATCTTTTGTATCAATTATTAATTGATAATAATCTTAAAATATTGGTTAACTTTTAGAACGGATTCGAATTGAATTCCGTGCTCATGATAATGCAATCTTTGATATTATGTGGAGCCATGATGATAAATCTTTGGTACATTTAAATATAAAAATCATGAAATGTTAATAATTAAAGCCATTAATGAAAATTCCCAAAAAATCTAATTTTTTTGAATTAAAGGTTACTGCCTCAGGTGATCAAACAGCACGTTTATGGGATGTAGAATCTCAGCAACCTAAAGCAATATTATGTGGACATACATGTAGTATTAAATCTATAAGCTATAGTACCTTGAATCCATGTTTATGGTCAACAGCTTCTAGAGATGGTAACATATTTATTTGGGACATAAGGACTGTAGGGCTTCAAAACTTTGGAGCAATGCTTTATAATCCTGCAATGAGCATACGATTTGCACACTCATTAGAATCTCATAGGAGAAGAAAATCCTGCTCATTTCCTGTAAGGAGTAAACCAACAAGTAGTGTTACTGGAGTGCAATTTTTAAAACATGATGAAAATTTATTGGCATCATCAGGAGCACTTGATAGTATTATAAAATATTGGGATTTGAGAAAACATTCTGGTCTAAGGAATGCAAACCCAGTTCAAGTATCAATTAGTGGAGCTACAGCAATACGTCCTCATGGTAAGAAATCTGATTTCTTCTTTACATTATCCATATAATTTTAAAAAATTAATTTGAAGATCTAATTTTAAAAAACAGGTATATCAGCCTTATTAATGGATAATGATGGTTCAAAATTATATGCAAATAGTACCGATCATTAGTAAGTCTTTTTTTAACAATGACTACAAAGTATATATATATATTTTCATTTACATATTGATTGTATTTTATTTTAGTGTTTATGTGTATGATTCAATGAATTTAGGTGAACCATTAACTCGATTCACTGCTCCAGAATTTCGATGTTCATCATTTTATGTTAAGATGGCAATCTCACCCAATGATCAATATCTTGCTTGTGGATCAACTGATAAGAATATATATATTTGGGAAGTAGATTATCCTGATGTGAGTCCAATTGTATTGAAAGGTCATGATAATGAAGTCACAAGTTTAAGTTGGTCAAAAGACTTTGATATAGTAAGATTCATATTCATCACAATGGGGGGTTTTTTTTTAAAAAAAATATATTTTAAAAATTTGTTTTATTTTTTTTTTTAGATTGCTTCTTGTTCAGATGATGCATCTTTAAGGATTTGGAGAATTGATTACTCCTCAGATGAAAATATTTAATATTAAACTCTCATTATCCTGGGAATATATATGGGGCATGCTTGCAACAAAAGCATAGTGGAAGTCCTGAATTTGACCACAAATGTTACACAAATATTTATATTAATTTTTACAATAAAATATATATGAAAATTAATCAGTCATATGATAACTCACCTGATTGCATTTTAGAAAATTTTTTTATTTATTATTAATATTGTTCTTTATACTTTTGTCAACTTTTTGAAATTTGATGTCACTGATTCATAAACGACTTATCTTAGACCAGGGTTGGCAATTGACTGGTCCATTGAGAACAGATGGATTTTGGACTGGTCCATTGCCATTAATAAAATACTAAATATAGTTAAAGTGTTACACTAATGGACCCAATGGACCACCAATAGACCATCAATGGACCACACATTTGCCAACCCTGTCTTAGACTAAGAGCCATTTCCAAATTGTTCACACATTCACTGATTTAAGATAATTAACCAATGTATTCTTCATGTTTCTGCTTTATCTAATACTTATTTAATATAAAAATTGCTTATAAGGTAAACTCCTTCAAACACTTGATCTGGAAAAATTAATGTGAATATTATGATTACATGACATTAATTAACTAGATATTTTATAAAAATTTATGAGTAGATGAATAAGAAGTATGGAGTACTAATTCATGTATATATTTATTTTTTAACAAAGAAAGCTATTGATTTCAAAGGTAAATTAACAAAATATAAATTTTCAAACATATGTTATTATTAATTTGCTACCATTTATCTATGTAATCTAATGCATCTTGTAAATTGGATGCAATTTTGTGTTTCTCTTGTGAATGTTGTTCTACTTCTATATTATCTTCTGAATCTTCTTGAGATTCTTCTACTTCTTCAATTCCATCATTGTCAGTAAATGTGTCAACACCTTTTTCAAGTCTATGCAAAAATGAACTAACATTTTTGTTTATTCCATTTTTATAGTACTCTTCACAATGTCAACATGCATACTCCATTTTACCATGGCAATGCCAGTGAAAACCATGACCACAAATCAATACAGTACCAGCATCATTTTCATCTAAAATTTTATGGCAATCATCACAAAGACCTGGTGAGGGAGGGAATCCGGTGCTGTAACTTGTTGGTAAGCATGTTACTTCAACCTCTTTGTTTAAAACAGCAAGTTAGTATTTTATATTTATCTTTTTCTTTTTTCCTTGCCTTTTGCTTTTGCTATTTGTTGTACTGGTGATAGCATTGATATTTTGGAAGACTTGGTGAAAATAATCTAGCAAAAACAATGCAGTCTTATTAGTCAAGTGCTCTAGGTCAGAGGGAGTGTAAGGGTATCCTTTTTTTGCATGAAATGTTTCTTTAAATGAGGATTGTTTATTTGTAAGCATAATAAATTAAATTGTACTACTCGAAGATGTATTTAAAGGGTTGGTTTTCGACTTGGTCGAAAAACAACTCTCTTTCTAACTCTTCTCTTGACCATATCTCTCGACATAATCAAAAAAACCTTAATATAATGAATGTCTACGAAATGATTTTAACCCACGCAATTGTTGATCTACCAATCAAAATCGTGAATTTGATAACGTAAAAATAAACGTTAATATAAAACATTGATTCATTTTGTCAACAATCAC